TTGAGTATTTAATCTATTTACATTCTATGTTAATTACTGATAAAGCAGGATTTATATCTAGCATTGTGTTATTTGTTTTCTTTAAGTCTTTTTTGTTGCCCCTCTATTACTTTGTTACTGCCTTCTTTTGTGTTAAGAAAATATTTTTAGTGTACCATTTTAATTCACTTGTCAAAAGGCATGGATTATAAAAGAAAAATTTGATAAAGTGAACATTATCAAAGTTAAAAATATTTACTCTGAAAGACATGGTTAAGAAAACAAAAAGGCAAGCTATAAACTGGAAGAAAATATTTGCAAAACATACATCTTATAAAGGACTTGTAGCTTGAATACATTGTTTATAATTCAATGATAAGAAACATACGGCCCAGTGAAAACAAGCGGGTGAAGGTCTGAACAGGCACTTTACCAAAGAGCTCACATAGACAGCAAATAAGCACGGGGACAGACGCTCAGCCTCTTCAGTCATCATGGGGATGGAAACTAAGACCAGGCGTTAACGTAACACACCCTCCTGAATGGTAAAGATTAGAGCGGCAAGATCAAGTGTTGCAAGGATCTGCAGTGACCAGAACACTCAGGCAGTTGCTGGTGGGAATACAAAGCCGTGTTCCAGCTTTGGAATATCATCTGGTGGTTTCTTATAAAGTAAACATATACTCACCAAATGACCCAACACTACTGCTCAGGGAACATGAAAATCCACGTCCACATGAAGACTTGAACGTGCGTGTCTGTAGGCGCGTTATTCCTAACAGCCCGACGGTGCAGCAGTGGCTGAGGGAATTAATGAATCCCGGCAGACCTGTGCCAGGGGCGGCTGCTCTGCCACGCACACGACAGCGTGGACAGCTCTTACAGGCTTTGGACTGAATAAAAGAAATCAGACACCAGAGAGAACATATGTTGTGATTTATCTGAAATTCCAGACAAGATAAACTTTAGTGACAGAAAGCAAATTGCCAGGAGTCAGGAGTAGGGGACCGCCTGCAGAGGGGCGGGAGAGGATTTGGAGGAGTGGTGGAAGCCTTCATTATCTCCATCGCTGAGGCGGTTATAGGACTGAGTAAATTTGTCAAAACCCATTGAACCAACTGTACACTGAAAATGTGAATTTTGTTATAGATAAATTATGCCTCAATAAAGAAAACAGATACAATTAGCAATAGCAACAAAAATGGAAGGTACTAGGAATAAATCTAACAAAGCACACACACCTTCGGAAGGAAGCCTGTAAAACTACGTGGAAGACGTGGCCGAGACAGCTGATGCCCAGCAGACGTTCCATGTGCTCCCGCACAAGGAGCATCCTCCATTGCATTTAGGTTGTGGCAAGTGACAGTCGGGCACGCGAGAAAGTGGGGACAGAAGCAGCTCGGAATAGGTCATCTCCTCTAGTTCCCGCTCGTCCTTGCATGTGACCTTGGAGACCACAGGCTCAAGTTGGTGTCAGGAAGGAGAGTGGCTGCCTGGCCTGCAGGAAACTTTGCCGGAGCTGGAACAAACCTGGATTGTGTTAAATTGTTTATAATTCAATAATTATAGTGTTAAACTATTGAAATTTGGGGCCTTTTCTGTTGGGGCCCCGCTAGTGCTAATTGCCCTAATAGAAGAGAAGCATTAAAGAAGACCCACATGCGGGGAGAGTTATACCCCATTCACCCAGAGGAATACAAACTTTAATAGTAATGTTCGTGTAATTTCAAATCAGAAGTCCATTGATTTCTTCATGCATCTTAACAAACTGAGTACACAAAGTCTATGGCAGCACAAAGAGACGAGAAGGGCCAAGACATCCCTTAAGAAGAAGGAGGTGGGAGGACTTGCTCTGCTAAGACCCACACACTTTATGAAGCCACAGTAACCAGGACAGTTTGGATGAGGATGAACAGGCTCACGGTACTGAGGAGAGCGCTCTGACATAGACCCAGAGGTGAAAGATGAGTGACATTGTAAACGAGTAGGAACAGCTGGTTGTATGGGGCAAAAATGAAACTGAACTATGTCCTGACATCACATCCAGCGTCAAGGTCAGGCAGGTTAAGGACTTAAATGTGGAAAGCAACACTTCGCAGGTTTAGAAATTAATATAGAAGAATATCTGTGTAACATCAGAGTATGATGCTTCTTAAACCAGCAAAAAAGGCACTAAGGAAGTACTAGACTTTAAAAAAATATATTGCTAATCTTGATCTCATTAAAATGTAAAACTTCTGTTCATCAAAGAACACCAAAAAAGAGAGAAAAGGAAGGAAGGAAGGAAGGAAGGAAGGAAACAAAATATAAGCCATGGACTGGGAGAAGATATTTACAACACATAATGAACAAAGGATTCATTTTCCAAACAGATGTGTATGAATCAACAAAAATAGGAAATTGGGCAGAATACATGAAAAAATATTGCTCGGAAGAGGAAACACAAATGGCAAATGAATTACAAAAAAGTCAACCTTACTAGTAATTACGGATTTGCACATTAAAACACAATTAGAAATCACTAGAGTGGGAAAAATAAAAAAGTCTGATGATCGTAATCACTGGCAAGAAGGTGGAGTAAGAGTAACTTTCATACCCTGCGGGCGGGAGTGTAAATTGTTCGAACTGGTTACAACAGCCTGGCACTATCTTGTAAAGTGAAGATTAACTCACCCCATGACTCAGCTACTCCACTCCAAGATACAGAGCCTAGAGATGCTGTGTGACACATCTTTACCAGGAGCCACAAACAAGGACGTTTGTAGCAATAGCGTGTGTAGCAGTGAGAAATGGAAATGACTGAAATATCTGTCTCCGGAGGAACTCGTATGCCAGTGGTGGCGTACCCAGCTACCAGACTGCTACACAGCAGTGAAGAGGCGGTAACCAGGCTCCATGCATCAACAGGGTCTCCAAATTACAATAGCGTATGAAAAAAAAAGCAAGTTACCAAAGAACATACAACAGGCTGCCACTTACGTGAAGTTCAACATTTTACAGAAACGTTCAGTGGTGTACGAAAGTGGAAAGGGTATGGCCCACCCCTGTGCAGGCAATGAAAAGCTGCATTATTTGTAAAGAAATTTAAAACAATAATAAAATGGACTAACTCCATCTGCTACTGCTCATAAGCGGGCATCAGTGATTCTGAACAGCGTCGTTGACAAAATCCCCCTGACCCTGCAAAGACGACCACTTTCCATCCCTACCCTTCTGTCTAGGTACACAAGGGAACACATGGTTTAGAGACGTTTTATTTCTGTAGTAAAAAGTATCATGAAAAGTAAGGGGATGATAAAATTAAAGTTCAGCTGAGTGGTTTATCTTGGAGCTCGAGAGAGGGATATGGTTGGGGACCAGCACAGATGCCTTGGAAGAAATTCCTTATGTTCTCTTTTTCATACTGAGTGATTGGTGCATGGCTGTTTATTGCATTTTTTGATATCTTAGGTATTTATCATGTTTATTTATATCTTCTTCTGTATGTATGAAATTTTCCACCCTCAAGAGACACCTGAAGATGCAAAGTCAGCAAGGGGAGGGGAGGTTGGAGAGGACTCGCTCTGTCATGCACTGGGAGCTGCAAACTCAAGAAAGAAGAAAAGGACCACGGCAGGCCCGGAAAGGATGAGGAACCGCGTGGGGGCGGCAGCAGCAGACACCCAGGCTGTGGCTCAGGAGGTGCTGGGGCCTGAACTGTGGTGAGGGGGGATCTGGGGAAGCTGCTGTGGGCGTGGGTGAGGTTTCCCGGAAGCACGTGTGGTGTGGGAAGCGGGGAACCTGGAAGCCTCGGGAGAAAGAGGGGCCCTTCAAGCTGAGGCTGAACAGAAAGGCCAAGCAGCTGGAGAAGCGCGGGTCCTGCGAGCTGGGGGAGCCGGAGGGCAACGGCCCCAGCCTGGGACGCTGCCCTGGGTGTCACAGCCGGGCGAGGAGGACCTTGTCTAGAGCCGTTTGGTGCAGAAGCAGCAGGAGCCAGATTGCCGTGGGGGGAGATGTGACTCAGAGGAAGGGGAATGAGGGCGGGGCGTCCAGACAACTCTCAAGAAGTTTGGCTGAGATGAGGAGCAGCAGCTAGGAAGAGACAGGGAGTCAAGGGAAGGCTTTATTACACTTTTTAAGTGTTCTTTTAAAGATCTCAATCTGGTTGAGCCCCACAATGGCAGAGGGGTGGCCTCCGGCCTCCCCCCGGTGCTTGCAGCTGTCCCCGACAGCCAAAGCAGGGGGTTCAGTGGTTTTTCTATGAAGGGGCGGCTGTCTGCCGCGGTGGAGAGGAGTAAGAACTTTATCACTGGTGATGGTGAAAGATAGGAAAAAGTAAACTGCATTTAGTCACTTTTATTCTGGTTTTTAAATTCTCTACAGGCAGTGCATCCTCTCCTGCCGGCATGGACAGACTGCTCCTGCCACCCAGCCCCTGGTATGTACCAGGGACAGGGACAGGGTTGAGTCTCCAGACCCAGGTGTGCAGCCCTGCTCCTTCACAGTCTAGCTGCCCGGTCTGGGCACCCTGACCCTCAGTTCCCTTTGGCTCACGGTAACTGAGGCTTATTCCTACCCCCTTAGGGCTGCTGTGAGAATGGAGTAACAGGAAAGCACCGAGTGTCTGGCACACAGTAGGTGCTTACTAAGTGTCCTTTTGAAGTCAGGGGACAGAGAAGATAGTGGCTGGTGTTGTCCAGCTCCCAGCAGGTGGACCCAGCGTGTGGTGGGTGGGGGTGTGTATCCCTGGGCTATGGGTACCCGCATATCCACTCCAGATCTACCCCTTGTGGTTCGCCTGGGCCCGAAGCTGAGCCCTTCCGCCCACATCTGCTGTCTGCAGAGGCCTCCCCAAAGCCCAGAGGCCAGGCCTGTATCCTGCCCTGCCCTGCTTGCAGTCCCCGAGGATACGCTGCCCGCCTGGGCCGCAGGGGGCAGTTGTCATGGGGACGCAGGGCCTGCCGAGCTGCCTTCTTAGCAACGGGACTCCCAGGCCTGTTACCTTGGAAACAGCATTGAATCAGCTATCAGCGATGGGGACCGGGTTCCCTGGCCTTTTCTGAGGACTCTCCCCTCCTCCAGCAGGCAACACGGCATTCCTCGCGCCGTGCTGGGAGCCCCGGGGGACTTCGCTCTTCCAGCCGCGGATCACTGCCTCTCACCTACACGGTGAGGTCCAGCTCCCAGGGCCCGCAGGGGCCCTCTGCGGCCAGGGGTGGTGGAGGCGGCCATCTGAGGGCTTTTTAGGGGGTCTGGGGGTCAGCTGTCCCAACCCCCCCAGTTGGGGGGTGGTTGCCACATCTCCTGCTGGGCCTCTCAGGTTCCCCAGCCTCCTTAGGAGACCAGCGACTGTGTTCCCTCCGTGGCCTCTCTGAAAAGCAACCTTCTGTCCTGGCCACGACACCCTCCCCCCAGCCTGGTCACCTTTTGTCCCTCATCCACCCTCCGGCTTCTGAGGGCCCATCTGATCAGGCTAAGATGGCATCTCCCTCTTCACTATCCATCTGGGGTCACGTGCACACTGACTACCCTCCTCCTGCACGGAGCACCGAGGAGGCCCAGGACTCTGCAGCCCCGCAGCTGGTGTGGGAAGGGTGGAGCCAGGGCCTCGCACCCGCAGGCACAGGCACGCGCTCTCACCCTTCTCCTCTGTGACTCTCACCAACCCATAAACAGCGCACAGGCTTCTCCTAGCCAGACGGCGCACCCCTGCACACCTCTGGCCCCCTGCTCCTGGGGGCACAGGCTTGTGCCCACGAGTGCCCACGGGCTCTCGAGACCATGTCCCACTGCCCCCCCAGCCTGGCTCCGGAGCCTCCAGAATGCCCCACTGCCTTCACTCCGCCCCCCCCCCAATCTCCGGCCCCTAGAAGAAGGCAGCATCTGCTGGCATTTTTTTTATTTAAATAAAATATACAACACGGCGCATTTACCGTTTTCCATTTTAAAAGTGGAAGATTTGAAAATTGCTTGTGGGGGATCGGGGATGGGAGGGCCCTCTGACCTGGCTTCCCCAGTCTCCATGGGGTCTCTGGGCTGAGTCAGAGCTTTTACAAAATGAGTGTGTGTAAAGAGGGTGGTGAGGCCAAGCCCTGATGGCAAGGGAGGGTCCTCACTGCTCATGGCCCTGCACCCTCCACCCGACTCATCCCCTGCCACCTCCAGGACTAGACTGAGTTTGGATCAAGTCCTGCTGCCTTCCTTGAGGGGCAGAGGTGGGGGCAGAACTCAAGTTGAGGATATTGCTACTTCCAGCTCTGAGAGCTCCCTGGACCCAAGGGGGCTCCTCCTGCCCAGTGGAGCCCAAAGCTGGGCGGCTCCCAGTCGCTCCCTAAGCTCCCAGGATCCTTTGCCCTCTTCTCCCCTGGATTATTGCCTCACACCCACTGTGGCCCATCCGTGGAGGAATTTTGTCCACATCCCAGGCCAAAACCTGACCTTGCCAACATTCTGGCTTAGAGTGTGGAGGAGGGTTCTGGATGGACAAGGCTGTTCCAGCCCTCTTCATTATTCAAGTCTGAGCAGCCTAAACTCCTCCCACCCTTTAAGCAGTGAGCAGACCACTGACCTTGGCTCTGGCAGGTATCTGAGCTGCTTTCACAGTGGCCCCCACGCTGGACGCTTCTGGCTCCTAGTTGCCACTCCCCTTAGCCTGTCATCTAAGGCATTCCCTCTGACCACCCCGCCTCCACACCCACCTCAGTCATGTCCCCACCGTGCGCTCCATCCGATCCCTTGCTCCCTCCTTCCTTGCCTCCCTTCCTCCCTCCCTCCTTCCCTCCCACTCTTCCCATACCTGGAGGCCTGGCTCAAGCCCACCACTGGCCACACACCTTCCTTAGGCCCTTAGAAAGGTCCGGCCACCTCCTGTGTCCTGAGCTCAGAAGTCCTGGAGCCTGCAGCCAAAGCTCCCTGCACTCTCACCACAGCTCCCTGGGGCAGCGCTGGGCACATGGGGACGGGGCAGAAGAAACATGATGTGCTGAGCACCTACTACGGGATGTGCCAGGTGCTGGGCTGGGCATTTCACATGGGCTGCTTTTCTCACCTGGCCGTCATAGGTCCTTGTGAAGTGGGACCACAGTGACTCCCATTTTACAAATGAGGTAACAGACTCAGAAAGCTAACTTGCCCAAGGTCACACAGCAAAGTGGCAGGTCTGGGATTCAAACCCAGGTCTGATTGCCTCCAAAATCTGGTCTCTTCCCTCTGCACCATGCGTGGGGACCGCTGAACTCAGCCCCTCTCAACAGTTTTCTAATGAAAGGGATATCAGCTTTGGCCTCAGGCAGGCATGGATTATACTCTCAGATCAGTCCCAGCTCTGCCACGCGCAGGTGTGCAATTCTGGAAGTTACCGAGACTCGGTTTCCTCATCTGTGAAATGGGAAGAATCAAAGTAACTACACCTTCCCGGTCTTTGTAAAACTGAAGAACGTTAATGGATGTAAAGTGCTAAACCAGTGCTTGGCACAGAGCGGACTCAATGAACAGAAGCTCCCCTCACCCCTCACTGCACAGACGGGAAAACTGCGGGCCCAGAGGTGACGGGGTGTGCTTGAGGCCCTACGGGAAAGGAGGCACGCTGGAGTCTTCTGCTTCCGAGTGGGAGGTCGGGCAGGGAACGGACTTGAGACCAGAGATGGGGAGAGGGGGGGCCTGCTGAGAGCTCCTGGGGCCTCTTCCCTGAGGGCTGGAGAGAGTAAGTGCCCCAGGCCCCGTGCTGCCCAGCCTGCGGGCCAAGGCGGGCTGCTGCATGTAAGGTGACCTGGGTGTCCCAGCAACACGGGGTTAACTCGGCTGCACACACATGTGCACACACGTGGTGGCTATCTACATGGCTCTACGCAGCGCTACATAGCGATACATATACACATCTTACATACATATACATATATTCATATACATAGCTTGCTAAGTTTGCAGTAGAAAAAATGCAAGACGCTCAAGGTCCTAGCCCCCGTTTGTCCCAAGGGCTTGGGCAACTGAGACTCTGCAGGAACAAACCCAAGGGCAGCCCTTCCTGGAGGAATGAGATGACCCCCAGCAGAGCGGGGCTCCAAGTTCACAGCTAAGGGCCTGGTGGTGGCTATTGCCCTAAAATGAATACAATGACAGATCTGCTCTAGGAACCCCAAACATGGGTCACCCCCACCCCTGCCAAGCCCCGGAGATCCCACCCGCCTTCCTCTGGCTTTTGCATTTGGGCCCTGCCTGCTCCCCTCCCCCTCCCTCCCCTCTAGTGCTGAGTATTAAAATAGTCTATAAAAGCAAGTGACCAAAAATCTATAGCTCTAAGAATACCTGGTTATTTTCTGCTGTCTTTTGTTTTTCTGGTGTGGGTTTTTTTTAATGATAAATATTATTGTTATTGGTATATCTCCTAATCACAGTTAAACCTGAAGGAAGAAAAGGGAGAAAAAAAGACGAGAAGAGGGAGGGGGAGGGGCCGCAGCTCATAGATTGGACGGCAGTTTGGAGCGCACCGGCTCGGACCTGGCCCCAGGTTCCCTCTGGGGAGCAGCAGTCAGAGGGGGCCCCCCAGAAGAGGTGGCTCTTGCCCCAAACAAAGAAAGAGGGGGTGGCAAAGAACCTGAGGATGTCTTCCGAGGCAGAGTGACGTGTTGGCCGGGGACGGCACCACAGGGCCTCCCGGGAGGACCGAGGCCCCCGCTGCCCCCGCCGCCGCCGCCCCCGGCTCTGGGGAAGAGCGGGAAGGCAGCCACGGACTCCCCAGAGGAGTGCGGGGAGGCTCGGCGGAGAGTCTGGGCCCCGTCCTGGGGCAGGGCCGGCTGCGAGGCTGAGATGAGCTTGAGGTCCTGGGTGAGGCGGCCTGGGGTGAGGGGTGGCGTGCCCCGGCGCTGGGGGACCTGGGGCGGCGGGGGGCTAGAGGCGGGCGGCAGGAGCAAGGACCCGTGCGAGCCGGAGGCCCGGGGTGGGGCACTCGGGAAAGTTCTGGGGGGGCCT